GAAATGAAGTGGAGGGCAATTTTGTCTTTTGGGGGGCGGTAATAATCGAAAAGGGGGCGGTGTTTAGCGTTTCACATAATATAATATCACAAAATCGTGATTCATGCAGGTTCCAGACCAGTCGAGTGAGCATCCACTTTCTGGAGCGTATATCGATCTTTTTCTTTTTTTTTCATTGTTCGAGCTCAAACTTTGACTCTGTAAAAAAAATATATAATATGAATGTTTGAAATGGCTCGAGTTCGACTTGAAATTTTAAAAACTAAATTTAAATATAAGTGTGCTGTTATTTGGTGTTCTAATATCATAGATAATTTTGGTTTTGATGTTCTAATATTGATAATTAAATTATATTTGGTGTTCATGTAGATGAAAAGTCGAGCGAGCTTACTAGCCTCTTGAAATGATGTTCGATGTTCAACTCGTTTGGTCGATTGAACTGTTCGACTCAACCGTGATCGAGCATTGACTAGAGCGCTCGCGAACTGTTCGTGAGCCGCTCGACTCAGGGGCGGATTTAGAAAATTTGATTGGGGGGGATAAATAATTTTCGATAAAGACATACTTCATTAAAAAGACAAAGTTACATTTCTAGAATAGAAAAGAAAAAAAAAAATAGTTCAAGAAAATACATATCGTTCAAACTTTATGACTATTAGAATTGTGCTCGACGTTCTCTCAAAACCTATCGATGATTGACTCGGTAGTAATAGATCCTGCAATTTCCCTTTCAACAAAGATAGTAAAAGAATTTACGAGCAAGTCATACTCAATTTTACTTCGAAGTTTGGATTTAAGTGAATTAAAATAGTTTGATTAGTTTCATTAATAAGGAAATAATATCCCACTATATATAATTATAGAATGCGCTGAGTCTAAGTGGCAGTCTCGCACGTTTCGTAATCCTACTTGGCGAAAAAAATATTTCGTAGTTTGGCTTGGATAAAAAAATAATATTATTTTAATCAATAATTTTAGGTTCGGACATTACAAACATATTAAAAAACTAACTTGGTAATCCCATTATAGTTTGACTAATATAACCTTTAAGTTGTATTGACCTTTGATAATGGTATTGATTGACTAATATAACATTAATTTCTTTTGAAAGCTCTCAATCGGCTCATTTATTTCTATGAAAAAAATTAAATTAGCCTAATAAATACATATATTTAATTTTAAACAATTATTGTTGTTATTATTGTTTAGTTTTAAAAATAATTTTTTTATCAAGTACCGTGTATTACACGTGTATTGTACTAATAATACAATACAATAAAAGGTGGAAGTTAAATGGACTTTATGTGTTATCTTTTAAACTTATCTCTAATGGGCCTAGTCTTGTGTTAGTCTACATAATCAAAATCAATATATCATTAATTAATTGATTAATGAGAGACAATAATAACTACATATACTTAACTTAATACATTAAATTGTACCAAAAAAAAAAAAAAAAAAAAAAACTTATTTATATAGGTAAAAAAATGATATATATGTACATACTATTAAATCGATTTAATGTTTAAATTGGGCTAATACAAGACCTACCAAATACTATTTGACAAATTGGAAGAATCCATTAATAATATATAATATGTATCATCCACACATAGTGCTTCCCAGCTTAGCCTCCAAAATTAAAAAAGGCAACACTACGGAAACAAAATAATGAAAAGTGGAAAGTGACTGCGGTGTTTTATTGTTAACTACTCCTTGTTCATATTTGATAGGTTCATGTATATCAGTAATCCTCCTCTATCCACAGTGAGCACATATTAATATGTCTACTGTTTATGTAAATACACACATTAGTGATTAATATGTTTAAAAAATACATCAACAATATGTGCATACCACATAAACGGTGAGCATATTAACATGTATTCATCGTGGGTAGGGAAACATTATCCACCTATTTATATATGGTTACATTTTTTTTTTTTTTAATCCATGGTTACATTGATTGAACATTAGTTTTTAGGCAATAATCAATGTACAAAGTTAGAATATTACAAAATGTCTATAGATTGTTTTATACATTTAAGAGGAGGAGGAAAGGGAGGAGGAATTGGAGCCCAGTCCATAGGGTGCATTAAGGTGGTAAAAAATCAAACATTTTCGATTCGATTAGTGATTCGATTTTGGTATTCGAGCTTATTCGTAAAATTTTGAATCTGAATTCAAATTCGAGTAAGAATAGTGTTTAGCATTTAAAATTTACTCGAAAAATCCAAACCGAATATCATATTCGATTCTTTAATAATATATATATATTGTTGACGGTCGGCCAAAAGTGAAACATCTACAGTCATTAAAGGTAAATTGGACATTTCTCTCTCATTCGCATTTTATATAGGTACCACCATTCACTAGTCTCCCTCTCTCACATCACACATGTGGCCCCCACCTCCATCCATACCTTTCACATCAACTCCCAACAACCATAGATACCCTCTGCAACACATAAAAAAAAGTCCCATATGCCTCCTCCTCGCCTTACTTGTCGGCGTATGCCTAACTGTGGGTGATGGCGGCCACATACATGGCGCCAGCTTTGGCAACATGCACCGAAAGTACGTCCTCACCGTCGCCCATGAGAACGATATCGTTGTCGTCAACGTGGTCGGCTGCGTCCTCAATTTCCATGGTGGAATCTCTTTTGGGCCATCTGTAGTACTAGCTCTGCCATCGTCCTTGCCCACAATACACAACTCGTCTTTGTCCCGACGAATTTCACCATCTTCAACATTATAAGTACGCCAACGAGAAAGCGGTCGACGCCGTCGATCGGCAATGCAAGTAATTATCAACAGTGAGTTGACTGGAGCTGGCGAAGACAAGATCAGGTCAGGGTGGTGGATCTAGAATCGGGAGGTGGCGGCGGATTGGAAATCAGGTCAAATCATCTCCGACGACCTTCCATTCGCGGCCAACCTCGACCTTCCACCCACCGCGAACGAGAAGCTCCTGGGTGCAGTCAGATAAGACGTTTGGACGCAGCCCGCGTTTCAGGCAGTCAATTTTCAATAATGAAAGGTCGTATCTTAAGTCCGTAATTGGCCGGTGCTAGTTACTTTAGTTACACGCGCCAGGGGACGTGATCCCCTCTTCT